TGTCTGTCATCATCATCATCATCATCATAATGCTAATGAATCAGTAGTGTTACCCACCATTGCTTTGGCACCATCGGTGCAAATGTCCACACAGTGCAAAATGAAAATAGTATTAGGTCATTAGTGTTATGAAATTAGTTACACTATTATTAATAAAATTAGAATTTCTATTATTGCAATGATTATGAAAACAGCGTTTATAGACATCGTGAAAGGCATTTTGGGGACCTTCAGGAGTTGGTAAACCACGGCCATTTAAGACCATTAGGTCAGCCTTGAGATAAGAAGAATAAATAAGTACCTGCCTACTTGAAAATTAGTGCCAGGGCTTAAAACTCAGCAAAGCAAAGTTATGAAAACCCTCAGGCTTCTAAGTAGCTTATTGTTTAGTTTATTCTGCTTCCTACTAGAGTAATAGCTAAAAATACATGTAGCTTTTCATTTTTTAAATTCTCTATATGACATCTCATTTAATTCTCATAATAACCCTATAATGCTAGTATGTAACCCCAATAAATATATTACTTGATATTATTGTGCTGGTGCTTTAGGCCTGACTAACTCTTAACTACTATGCACCGATTCACATTTTTGTCATTTGCATATTCCTTTAAATATATTTGCATTTAGTGATACCTGGATATCCTGGTTGAACTTGGATATGACCAATCATAACATACTATGGATGGATTTCTACATAAGTGCTGTTATATCAGTAAGGGCAAGACGTAGAATGTTCCTTCTAAGAAATCCTATTTCCGAATATGACAACACTTATTGAATTTCTCCAAGTTGTTTTATTAACAACTTGATCTGCAAAACCTGGAAAGTGTAAAAGACAAACTATTCTCCAGAAAATTTGTTTTTGAAAAGTCAAGTGTTGAAGAAGCATGAGGAGCTGGCAAAACATGTGACAAGACAGTTCCACGCTTGGTATTTTCATTCAGTGATTAGCAGGGTGTGTGCATTTTTTTAAGTTGTATATTTTATTTATGAACTACTGCTGGGAACATAAAATTTTCTCAAATGTTACCCAAAAGCTTTTTATATTTTTTGGAGATGAATCGATTCAATATTTTGCAAAATATGGTGCGTACAGCCCTAGTGATTCTCAATTTGGTTTTCGAGGGAAAAACATTAATTTCAGTGGCTGGTGTTCACCGGCGTTGGCCTTTAGCAGACACCTTGTTCTGCCTGGCATGGGGCTATGCTTTTTCTGGTACCCATCAGGGTGCCCCAGCTCACCCTGCTGGGACCCCTTCCCAGTCTCACCTAAAATGCAGCGGCCCATACCCCACTCTCGTTTTCCCCAGACCATAATTATGCCTAAGTGTTTACCTCCAACCTCACCATTTCCTTACCCTGCCAAGCTCCTTGTTTCTCTCAGTGCCTGGTATACCTGACTCTGTCAAAGTCTCATCTTGCCCCCAACCACACCCGTGAGTCCCTCCCCCTCAGTTTCTGGCCCTTTCCACCACCATTTCTGCCCATCTTTTCTCTTCCAGGCGAGAGTTTCCTTCTCCCAAAAGCATTTGCTTAACACCTCAGGTCTGGCTGCCTTTTTAATCTGTATCCATTATTTTCTCACTGCTTAGAACATACTCATGAGTGTTCAGGTCCAGACCCAGCTCTCCCTTACCAGGCGTTTCCAGTCCTTCCCCTTTTACTGATCAAGAGCATGGGCTCTGGTGCCGGACTCCCTGGGCTGGAATCCCTGTTCTGCCACTTATGACTTGGGTGATCTTGAATCTCTGTGCTTCAGAATCCTGCTTTACGATATGAGGATAATAATAGTACTTACCTAATAAGGTCATTATTAAGGCAAGATTTCATATATCTAAAGCACTTAGAATGACGCATGCATGGCGCACAGTAGGTACGATGTGTGTGTGTACGATAGATTAAGTACGTAACAGAACTGAGCACACAGATCTCTCTCCCCCTCTGAGACCATGATCTTTCCTAACTTTTACATCTGTCTTCCTTTCCCTTGTAAATAAATTAAAATAAATTTACTAAGTTAAAAATGAGTCAACTCAAACAAAAATGGTAAATAATAATATAGGCGGCATTGGGTATGGGAAAACCATGATGGTGGTGTGCAAATGACTAAGATTGGTGGATGGCAGAGTTACTGCTGAGTGGCGATCTGGAGTTCCTGGGTTGGATCGGACATTGAGCATCTGTGTGCATTTGTGCAAAGCATTCAATGTGCTTGGACTTTGCTTGGTTTCTTCATCTTTATGTTAAGAGGTTGGGCTGGATGATCATCCTTCATCACCTAAGCTAGTGGTTCTCAACCGGAGTTGATTTTGCCCCTTGGGAACATTGGGCAATTATCTGGAAACATTTTTGGTTGTCACAGCTGGGAGGAAAGGTTGCTATTGGCATCTAATGGGTAGAGGCTAGAGATGCTGCTAAACATACCACAATGCCAGGACAGCCCCACAGCAAGAATTGTATGATCCCAAATGACAGTAGTGCTGAGATTGAGCAACTGTGATCTGACATGACAGGCTGCTTCAATTTGACCACTGGTTTGTTGCCTAAAAAGAATATAAATGGGCTATACACAAGGCAGTCTATGATGGGAGCCCAAGCATGCTTTTGGCTGCTTCTAGGAATTCCCATTGGGAAACCAGCCCATAACAGAGCCATACCACTTAGGCAGACAAACAAACAAACAAACAAACACCTTTTGTTTTGAGCTCATTTTCTCCCAACATTGATTACATTGCTCCTCACTCTCCCCCTCCCTCTTTTAATGCTTTGGCTGTTTCCTTTGCCCAAATTCATCAGAAAATTACTGCTTTATGCTCTAGAGTGGGTTATTTTTTGTCCTTCCACTGCCCACACCTAGAAAGATTTGTGATTTAATTTTCTCTGTGTTCACATCTTTCTGCTTCTTTTCAATGATCTTGGCCCTGAGAACACCACTGATGTGTTTTGCTATATATATATATATATATATATATATATATATATATATCATTTATCTGAAGCTATATTTAAACATTTCTTAGTTTTATTTCACTTCAAGAATTACTCATTTGTTATGTCTTGTTCTGTCTGCATCACATTCTGGTTTAATCTGTTGGCAGGCAAGTTTTTATATGTATTGATACTGCTCATACTATCACCGTTTCTTAGGTGAATTTCCCTTTTTTTTTTTTTTTAGTTTTGTCAATTTCAGTGCAAACTGATTGTATAAATAGTATATCATCCAGTTGTCAGGACAACTGAAAACTTTTGCCTTATAATCTATTTTTCATATGTGTTATCATTGCTATTACTATCCTTCTGGCTCTTGGTAGAAATAAGTTTTTATTGGTGATGAAATATTTTTATGGGTGAATTAATTTTTTTAAGTTCCTGAGTTCTAATGAAATCCAATGGATTGTACAGTTATCAGGGCAGTTGGCCAATATTTATTGAGTAACTAATAGAAGTTGGTGTGAGTTTGGTATTAGCATTACATAAGACTTTTAGCATTTATAAAAACATAATCCCTATCCTCAAGGAGTATTCCATCATTGATTGTGTAAGGGAGTGTGGTCGAACAAGCCCATTATCAGGTGGCTTGTCAATAGCTCAACCGGAGGAAATATATTGTAACATAGTGGTTAAGAATGGTTTCTAGAGTAAGACCCAATTTCAAGTTGAAGCTCCCTCAGTTGCTAGCTGAAGGGCAAGATAGTTAACCTCTCTGACCACCAGACATCATTTAAGTAAATAATTTTGTTCGCTAATGTGTTCTTAAGGCATAGCGTACTGCCTATAGTAGAGTATCAATGCCTTGATACATTTTTACGATGAATGAATAATGTATGTAAAGCACTTAGCACATTGCCTAGCATAGTCGGTGCTCACTTGGTAAGATGTTAGAAAAAACACCTTGATCTCAGAATGCTGGTGTTGTCACCTGCTAACATGGTCTATGGGGTTGGTATGAACCTCTTTCTTTATTCAGAACATTTATTCTATGGACGGTGTGGTGTTAGATCTTATGCAGGAAACAAAGATGTATATGCTATGAACTTGCTCTAAAAAATTTACAATTTAATAAAGTGTAGAAAACCTAAACAGAAATAACTATCATTCTAACCAGTATTGAATTACATTTAACAGTATATTAAATGCCTTATAAATTATGCTATGTATGGTTCGGAATTCAGAGAAGGGAGTTTTTAGCAGATATGGTGGCATGATACTAAAAGTCTATGCGATTTTTATTACGCCTGTGAGATGGCAATTCTAAACAACGTCAGTGGCAGCATAATGTCACTTCCCCCCTTGGTACACCACTGACATTAGTTGACAAAGTTGATCAAGGAGCACTTCCTGAAGTTGGCTAGTGAAGTACATAGGGGGTTCCATGGACAAAGATGGAAGGCAAGCAAGAAGAGGGAACAGCTTCTCCAAAGATGCAGGGGCCCAGAAGTTGTGTTGAGGGACCAGCAAAAGGTGGGGAGAATGAAGTTGTGAAGACAGGCAGGTTGGCATCGGCTCGTGGAAAAAGAAAAGATGCTATTTTTGAAAATTAAAACTTAAAGTATTCTCTACAATAAAATTAAGTTGATATAATTCTTCTTTTTAAAGCATTCTTTACATTTTTATTTATAACACGCAATTGACCAATTAGATGATACATATATCTGTGGATTAAAAAAAAAAAAGGTGCCGTTTATTGAGTGCCTACTATGAGCAGCCAAAGGACTGGCCAACATTATCTTGTTTAAATCTTATCACAGTCCTCCCTGATGGGTATTATTACTCCCATTTCATAGATGAGGAAACTGAGGTTCCGAGCAATTAAGGGTCTCTGGTCCCCCAAACCCCGTAACTAAGAGAGGGCAGGGTTGAGATTTGAACAGAGTTCAGATTGCTTATAAAACCTTGGTCTTTCTACCTACCTAGCTTTGAATGCTAAGCCAAAGACAATGAAGAGTTTAAAACCATGAAGCGATCCACATAAAGCTGTACCTCAGCAAGATGAATCTGGTGCTGGTGTTAAGGATGAACCACAGGGGGGAGGAAGTCAGGAATCAGGGACCAATTATGATGCTGCTGGAAGATGGAAGTTATGCTGGAAATGGAAAAAAGATTTCAGAGAGGTTACAAAGAAAGTATCGCCAGGACTTGGAGACTGATTGGATGTGGGGGAGCAAAAGTGAAGAGAAAGGAGGTGCAGATGCGCCTCTGAGGCTACTGCCCTGGACAACAGAATGACAGTGCAGTGGCCAGAACAGGAAGCCCAGAGACAGAGAGGTGATTGCGCAGCGAGGTCCTTGGTTTGGCTATGGCCAAGGACAGCTGGCCTATATATACAGAGACCTAGGACAAGCATGGAATCAGTATAAATACAGCAATTATAAGAGTGAATTGTTGATGAGATATTGATCAGGGATTGTATTAATGGGTTTGAAATGGAAAAGTTTCCTTATCTGGAAGAAAGCTTCTTAAAGAGAAACTGTAATGAATGGAGAAAGGCTAGAAAATTTGACAGGAGGGGAAATGTTGTTCTCTGTGTTTGGAAAAGCATCGGTGAGGGCCTGGCAGTGGGAAACAGAGCTAAACATGGCCCCGTGCCTGTGGAAATAGAAGTGTCCCTCCTTTATTGGTGTGACCATAGGGGAAGTGACCATTCCCCATCTCCCCAGATTCTCATCTGTAGCAAAGCACATTGGGCTTCTCTTCCTGACAGCCCACTCCACCCCCAAGTCCCAGTCTAATAAAAGAAGGGATTAGGGAGAGAAGCAGGCCCCCTTGACGGGTTTAGAAAATAATTGTACAGAAGAAACCTCTGTGCATGTTTTATTATACATTTACATTTACAAAAATCAAGAATTTGCAAAGGCTTATAGTGAAGAAGACAAACGAAATTACCTATTAAAAGAAGAGAAGGTGGCAAGGACTCAAAAACTGATCCCAGAATTTAATTGAAGAAGAACCAAGCAATACATCAAAGGTATAAATCTACATTTCCCTGGGGTCTCAATGGAAGGATTCCGCTTCTTCTTCATTTTTTTTAATTTTAGTAAGTGGGTCAGAAAACTACTAATTCTGTAATGATTTTGTTCGGCTGCATTCAGCCGGTACATTCGTTTCTTGTGGATCTGAAAGAAAAAAACACCCAAGATGATAAAAAATGATATCAACCCAGTGTCAAACTGCTTTGTTTATCAATCATGAATACTGTGTTTTCATGATTGAAAGTCTGTCCTTTTAATGAGCAAGGAGTGACAATATTGTTTGTGCTTTTATTTTGAGATGCTGTGTCCTATGTTGTGCAACGCTAGGTATGGCTGATACAGTGACATCACAACACAGCGAGTCTCAAACAGAATGAAATTCAATAGGCAAACTGCTGCACCAAACCAAGACAAATACAGAAGCTGCTATATGGGTTTGATGGAAGCAGAGCTCAGGTTTAAAAACGGTATATAAGCTATGGTATATAAGCTAAGGTATAAGCTATTAATTAGCATGAAGGGTTTTTTTTTTCAGTTTTGGTAAAATACACATAACAAAATTTACCATTTTAACCATTTTTAAGTGTATAATTCAGTGCCATTGAGTGTGTTGACACTGTGGTGCTACCATCCCTGCCAACATCCCCAGAACCGTTTGTTTTGCAAAACTGAACGTCTGTACCCGTTACTCAGCAACTCCCCATCTCTCTTCTCCCTCTAACCCCTGGCAACCCTTGCTGTGCCTCTGTCTCTGTGAATTTGACTGTTCTAGGCACCTCGTATGTGGAATCATACGGCATTTTTGTCCTTTTGTAACTGGCTTCGTTCACTGAGCATGATGATGTCCTCGAGGTTCATCCATGTTGTAGCATGTATCAGAATGTCCTTCCTTTTTAAGACTAAGTAACATTCATTATCCGTACACGCCACACTTTGTTTATCCAGTCATCAGTTAATGGCCGCTGGAACTGTTTCCACCTTTTGGCTATTGTGAATAATGCTGCTGTGGACATGAGGATACAAGTATCTCTTCAAGTTCTTACTTTCAATTATTTCGAATATACATCCAGAAATGGAATTGTCAGATCATATGGCAATTCTATTTTTTAAGTTTCGAGGAATCTCCATATGTTTCCCATAGCGATGGAGAGCTATTTTTAAGTCATCTGACATTGAGATGCATTTATTCATTCATTCCTTCACTCTCATTCTTTCAACAAACATTACTGAACACTTGCCTTATGTAATGACTGCATGCTAGGCATTATGGAGTTTATAATTAGGACTAATTTGGTGGTATAAAAGAGCTCTATAAAATAAATATACAATGTGTTACTCCTAAGCCAAAGCAAGGCTTGAGTTTAGGGGTTCAACACAATTTTAAAAATTTTGGCCTATCAGAAGAGAAGTTGGTCATTGAGAAGCATAGAAAAAAGAGCATAACAGGGTGACTATCAGAAATCGTACTGAAAAATATTGGTCAGCAACCGAGTTCTAGTATTACAGACTCACTGATGAGGCTATCCCAAGAAGGGAAGAGTGTGGCTAAAAAACTAAGTGGAGGGAATTTTTTTTTAGCTCATTCATCTAGTTCTCTTGGTTCTAATTATATGCCCTTTAAAGCTGTGTTCTGATTGCAATTTGGCTTCTTTGCCTGCGAAGGGAGAATGCTTTTAGTCATGCCAACCTCAGCATCGTGGCCTTTTGAGAATTTACATTTCTCATCATAAATTAATACTTGGGCATCTTGGTGTTGAACACTGGCCTTATTGAGCTCTAATCAATGTTAGCTTAATTCTAAAACATTATGCTGCTATGGATGTGCCAGCTAAATCAAATTTCTAAGCCTTTTAGGCCATAGACCAGACAACTGTGTCTCAGAGCATCTATGGCCTGTTCCCTTATCTGAAAATGGAGATTAAAAGCAGTACCTACCTCACAGAGTTGTTGTAGTGATTAAATAAACTCTTGTGAGGTGTTTGGAACAGTGCCTCACACATCATAAACACTATATAAGTGTTGAGTCTTGTTATCGGTGGGAAATTACCTATGAGGTTTCTTGGCAGACCAAGTCTGACCTCACAGAGCCCTGTGCTTCTTTTCTACTGGAATCTGCATGACTCTTATTTTCCAAATGCAAGCAAGGTTGTGAAGGAGTCAGCTCTGGTTGTATTCTTACCTCTTCCTTTGCTGCCTCTCCCTCTACTTCGAAGCACTGCGCACCCTCAGAGTTCTCTACCACGGAGAAACAAAGCCAGCCCCCCACCCCAGGCAGTACCCCAAGCTCTGGCCTTCACATAACCCAGCTTGCAAGTCCCTGGCAAGGTTACTGTAGCCAATATGAAAAATTTATCGCCCAATTAAGTCATGACTGATAATGGCTATGAATTACACACGCATCCATTTTAACCTTCCTGGAAATTTATTGCCAATATCCAAAGGAATGCTCTCAAATTGTAGAATTTAATGGACTGAGATTGGCCAATAAGAGAAGCACTTTGGGGTCACATAGGCCTATTTGGTGCCCCTTTTCAGGTCTATTGTTTTCTCTACTGTACCTTTAAAGAATTTTGGGCCCATTACAGAAAGAAAGCTGCTTTTGTGTGAACTCAAGGGGTTTTATAAGACTTGCAAGATTTTGAGCGAGACGTGGGAAATTCTTGGGCTAAATTAGGGGTGTCAGGTGTGGGTGAGTTGCTGAATAGTAATTATAAGGGCTGGGGTAGGAGAGTGACATGAAATGATGCTGATCGGAGCCTGGGACAGACCCTGACTATTTCTTTTGGTGCATACGAGGCTGATCCAGGGGACCTGAGCAAGGAGATGAACCAGCTGCATTTAGCTTTGCTCCTTTCTAGTTATGAGCCAATATATGACACCAACACTAGTATACATTTCAGAGAAATCACAAAATTTGCTTAAACAGTTGGTAAATAGAACTTGCAAAAAAAAAAAAAAACCCTTCAGTGAGCCGTGGCTAGTGTAGCTCAGTGGATTGAGCATGGGACTGTGAAACAGAGGGTTGCTGGTTTGATTCCCAGTCAAGGCACATGCCTGGGCTGCAGGCCAGGTCCCCAGTGGGGGACACATGAGAGGCAACCACACATTGATGTTTCTCTCCCACTCTTTCTCCTTGCCCTCTCTCTAAAAATAAATAAATAAAATATTTTAAAAAACCTTAGTGAATAGAATTATTTAACCAGAGATAAGTAATAATATGTCCTGTGTTGTTTTCCTGAATGTGGTTGCACAATGATTCTGTGCTTTAAATGACTTGCCTGATGTTTGTTTCAACAAGAAAAAGAAATTGGCCAAAAATAAAAAAAGGAAGAAAGGATACAAAACAAAAAAAGCCCAGTACATCTCTGACTTTCTCAGTAGTTCTCCCTTTAAACACTGACCAAAACATGGACAAATTTAAAATTCTCTTTCCTTTGTTCCCTTCAGCAAAGATGATATCATCTGCGATTTTTAAAAGAGGCTTCACTAGTAAACACCGAGAGTACCAAAAGCAAGAAAAGAAAAAAGCCAAGGTAAAAAAAAGAAAACAATAAATAAATACATTTGAAAAAAATGGGGCTATCTCAAGACAGTTACCAACTCTAGTTAGCCTACAGCTCACTAAACAGTGAACCATAACAAATGTAATTGTTAGAGTTGATCAGTTTTTTCAGAACATGTTCTTGGGAGCATCTAGCATAGTCATCTAGTATTATTTTGAATGATGATTAAGAATGAGCCTTTTGTGGTAGGAAGCTCTTCCTGTTATTTACTTTTTAAGCCACCTTTCCAACCACAGTACTACAGTTTTGCTTATTTTAGGAAGTATGCATACAATTTTGCCATTAACGTATTCAGTTTCAATTATCTGCTCGCAGGCAGTTCTGTGTGGGTGAGTTGCAGATTTGAGAACTTCCTTAAGAAAACGAATTCTGAATTTTAAGTTTCCTTTGATCACTTTCCCGTTTTAGCTGGCTACCTGGGGTGAGGAAAAGCTCAAAAGACATATGATGCCGCCTTTGACTTTTAATTTGAGTTGTGCAGATTGGATTTAACTTTAATAAACATAGAAGAAACGAACCCTTGGGTGTATGCGTTGGTCCGAATTTGTAATTTGTAGACAAGAAGCCCAGGTTGTCCTTCAAAATTAGTAGAGAATGCACTTTTCATTCTTGCTGCTTGAGAGCTCAGGCATTGCTTATCCCAAGTCTCCCGCCAGGCCAACAGAATGATGTCCCGTTAGATTCTGGGCAGTTTTCTTCAACTCCACCCAACCTCCACCTTTGAGTGCCTCCCCCTCCTTTGTCGACCCCTACCTTTCCCTCATCATCACGGATACCCCCACAACCTTCAGCATGCAGAAATGAGCTGGCACCCTGCTAGTCTCTTAGCTTTTTTTTTTCCATCATAGAGACTGTTTTTCAAAGTCCTGTTTGTGATTAACTAACCTTGGTGGTTAGGATAACAAACGGTGGAGCAGTTTAAGCAGCATGTGGGAAATTTCCTTTACAGATGGTTTATTTCTCTTTGGTGGGAAAACCAGAAACTCTTGGATGGCATACATTTGCTTATAATTAATCATGGGCCAGGTTTGGTGGATGTCAACCGGACCCTACCACAGTGTTCTGATTTGGAAGAGTTATCTCCTGCCGAAGATAGTAGGTAGTGCATCCTCGCTTCTCTCTGAGCCTAGAAGGAATCCAGCCAGCGAGAGAGAAGCCCATCTTGGACAAAAACAGCTTGGCTAAAACATCCTAGATCTGGCTTTGTATCCAAAAGAATTAAAAGCAAGGTATAAAGCTATATTTGTATATCCATGTTCATAGCAGCATTATTCACAATAGCCAAATGGTGGAAGCAACCCTGGTGTCTATTGATGGATGAATGGGTAAACAAATGTGATATATTCACACAGTGGAGTGTTAGTCAGCCTTATAAAGGAAGGACATTTTGATATATACTATAACATAGGTGAAACTTGAGGACTTCCGTTTAGTGAAAGAAGCCAGTCTCAAAAAGACAACTATTGTATGATTCCACTTATGTGAGGTACCCAGAATAATCGAATTTCTAGAGACAGAAAGTAGAATGGCGGTTGTCAGGGGCTTCGGAGGAGAGGGAAGAGTGAAAAGTTGTTTAATGGCCAGCTATAGTGTTTCAATCATATAAAATGCAGACGTTCTAGAGACTGGTTGTATAACACTGGATATACTTAACTATGCTGAATCGTACTCTCAAAAATGGTAAAGATGGCAGGTTTTATGTTATATGTATTTTACTGCAATCGGGAAAAAAGAAATCCTGGAAAGAGGAGTCCGTGAGAAGCAAGTCTGCTGATGAATTTGAGACTGTGACAGGGAGGAACAAGTTGGGCCCTCGATACAGATGGGGATGTTGTGGTTGGTGCTGCCCCATCCCCCCTTGGGGACTGAAGGACGCCTGCCCCAGCTTCTGCGACTGCTCCTGGCTGACACGCCACAATCCCACAGTCACAAGCCCTCAGCTGTCAGTTCTTTGCGGGAATTGCCCTCTGCTGAAGAAAGCCATCTTGCTCAGCGTCATACCCACTTCCTCAGGGCAGCCTGCATCCAAGAAGATGTCAAGTCAGGGGCAAAAAAGGTGCGGTCCTCTCACCCCAGTCAGAGACAGCTCTGAAGGGTGCGCCCAACTTCAGAGCTCAGCTCTGAAATCTCGTTGCAACTGTATCAATCACAACTTCTCCATCCCTCCCAGCTGGCTGCCTTTGCCTCCCCGGGGGTGTGGATGCTGCGAGCTCTCTCTAATCAACTTCCTGCATGCTCAGCTATAGCAACTAGGGTCTGGATCACATCAGCTGAGATACCAACGCCAGCAGAGGTGGTAGCTGAGGCTGAGATGAATCCAGAATGTGTAGTGGACAAGGGAACTGATGAATTATCAGTTGCAGCCTGGAGACCAGCTGCAACGGGAGGGGCTGTAGGGGCTGTGGCTCACCCCACTCCTCCAGCCCTGAGCTCTCCCTCCAGAAGAGTGGCCCGTTGGAGCCCTGGAGCAGCCGGTCCCTGAGCGTCAGTAGAGGCGTGGATCCAAGAAGAGCTTCAAGTAGGCTCTGGCAGACCCGGGAGATGTGCCCTTCAGATCCCTCTTCAAGGCAGCATTTGTTACTCCGCTGCTAAGAGTGTGGTCAGCAGCCAGCCTCCAGCCGTGACTCCTTCAGGGTCAGCCTTGCCTGATTCTTCCTGGGCAGCTGCATGGGGTTTAGAAGAATGAGGGCACGTTCGAGACGTCTGTTCTGTCCTAGAGCTTCCTGCCAGGTTGCCTGCGTGTTTGCGGCTCCCACGGTTCACATGGGATCTGAAACTGGAACTGGGAAGGAACGACGTAGGAGAAAAAGCAATGTCAGTGGCAGTGCTCCGGAGGAAAGTTCACCAGCTGCTCCTGAATAATCAGAACTCACCCTGCCTTCTCCCCTGGCTGGTGTGGCTCAGTGGATTGAGTGTGGGCCTGTGAACCAAAGGGTCGCCAGTTGGATTTCCAGTTGGGACACATGCCTGGGTTGCAGGCCAGGCCTCCAGTATGGGGTATGCAGGAGGCAGCCACACATTGGTGTTTCTCTCCCCCTCTTTCTCCCCTTTCCCCACTCTCTAAAAGAAAATAAATAACATCTTTAAAAAAATTTACCCTGCCTTCTTCCTTTTCTGAATTTGCATGGTTGAGCTCTTCCTTTGATGGCACTAAATACCTCCTTTCATGAACTTTCTCGCCTTTTCTCCTTACATGATTTATGCTAGCCATGGGACATTTCTGTTACTTGCAATGAAAATTTTGCAAACCAGACATTGCAGGCAGCCAGGTTTAACCTTGAAAGAGGCATAAGTGACAGCAACTCGTTGGGGAATACTTGTCACTTCCTCTGAGGCATCTATAAAAGCCACCACTGTTGTCAGCAACAGGATAGAACGTGCCACCACAATTTGTATCTTTATTTTATATTTTTTAAAGAAAACTCCCCTGGCTGGTGTAGCTCAGTGGATTGAACACAGGCCTGCGAGCCAGAGGATTGCAGTTTGATTCCCAGTCAGGGCACATGCCTGGGTTGCAGACCAGTTCCCTGCAGGCCAGTTCCCAGCAGGGAACGCACGAAAGGCAACCATACATTGATGTTTCTCTCCCTCTCTCCTTCCCCTATAAAAGATAAATAAAATCTTTAAAAAAATTTTAAAAAAATAGGAAAAAAAAAAAAGAAAACTACCCTAGGTCTGTGTTATAAATAAATAAGTGGTATAGATTTGTGGTGATAGCTATCACTTCAATATCAGAAAGGAAGAAATTGAGTTCATTTCCGCTCTTGGACTGGCCAAGAAAAAAAACTGACCCGTGGAGATTTTATTTCCTCTTCCCTTGAATGTGGTGAAGGAAGATAGGGCGGGGTGGGGGGGGGGTGGGGAGGGCAGCCAGAAGGTCAGAGAGAAGAGACAGTTCAGGTAATCTACAAACTGAGTGATTAGATGGGAATGTAGAAGCATTAGCGATGAGAAGATGCTAGAGATCTTTTCAGGTCCTGATGTCCACCGGACGCCACGATAGGATGACGTCAGACGTGGCTGAGAGTGTTCAGAGATAAACTATACGAGAGGTTTTGGTGAGAAAGGCGTAGAGAAACACGTCCTGACACCTGAGAGGGATGATTCAGTGCAAGGAGAACACGAGAGTGGTTGTGGATCTCCATCTCCGGGGAGTTGAAAATAAAGGGCAAACGGCTCTTATTCATTGGGGATGGACCAGGTGAGGTCACCAGATACTTCCGAGTCCTGTGAATCATCCTTGGGGTTTTTGCTAAGGTTTTGTGCCTCTAATCACTTAAATTGCTTTTTAAAAATTGACTTGAGAGAGAGAGAGAGAGAGAGAGAGAGTCAGAGGGAGATTGATTTGCTGTTCCACCTGTCTGTGAATTCATTGCTTGGCTCTCATCAGTATGTGCCCTGACCAGAGATCTAACCCACAGTCTTGACACATCAGGCTGACCCTCCAACTCACTGAGCTGCCTGGCCAGGCCGAACTGCTTTCAGTATGCCTCATGTCCAGTGCAGTGCCCGCTTTCCTTGAGCTCATGATTTCTCTGTCCCCCCCCCCCCGCCCCCAACTCCCGTAACTGGAGGGAGGGACTGCTGGGAACCCTGATAAGTCAGTTCTGGAAGCACAGCCCACGAGCTCTGGATGCCTGGCACCCTTCAGAAAAACTACTAAAGAGTCACAACATGCTCAGAAGTGTGGCTGCCCTAACAGCCTGTCACCCAAAATGTGCTAATCATGGGGCACAGCAGCAACCAGATTCATGGCCTCCTCTTGTGACATGGAAACGTGACACTTCAGTGGCTGCCAGGTGGCGCTTAAATAAACTGGGACACTTCACCTTGAAAGTTCCGGGAGGTGCTGGGAAGCCGTGCCCTGTAGGTGCCCAAGTACATGATTAACACAGCTGTGGCCTCTGCGACAGCAGAGTGGCCTGGTTCTGGGTCAGACAAAGTCATAGCCTCGTGCCGTGGGGCCCAGGGATTGCAGCTAGTGTGACAGAGGAGCTGGAGTTGAACTTGGACTTACATCTTGTTAATTTCACCTTTTAATAATTGAGATGAGGCTCACATACCATAAAATCAGCTGTTTTAAAATGTAGAATTCCATGGCATCTGATGCATTCACCATGTTCTGCAACTACCAGCACATTTTTATCATGCCAAAAGGGATGACGAACATTGATTTGAGAGAGAGTGTTGACCCCCCACTTCCTTCTCCATCTCCCAGCCCCTGGCAGCCATCAGTCTGTTTGTCTCTGGTTTGCCTGTTCTGGACATTTCCTATGAGTAGAATTGTAGAAAATGTGAGCTTTCGTGTCCGGCTTCTTTTACTTAGAATAATGTCCTTAATTTCCATTTTAAATTTAAAAGCTAATACCTGATTTTGTTATTGGAAAACCTTTAAGTATGTTTGAAATGACCTAGGAATATGAATCTACTTTTTCAACTTGAAGGTTTTGAAATTCAACGACAGAGCCAGGATTTCCAGTTCATGTCGATCATCTCAGTCAAGGTCAGTCAGGCAAGTTAGACTCAAAACAAGGCTTATGTTTGACTGGAGTTTGGATGGGTGATTTCTGAGGACAGTGGGGTACATACGTGTCTCTCAGATTAGTTCTCAGGACCAGTTCTTACGGATGTACCATGCC